ATATTTGAGAGTGTGAGAAAGGGGCTCCCTCCTTTTCACCACAACTGATTGAGGTGGAAAAGAAATGACAACAGCCACTTAAACATGTGTAGGATACATCCCTGTCTGGAGATGGTTATGGCCATGGGTGCATAACTCCCCAAGATAAGTGGTCGAGGGCGTAGCCCGAGACCACTTCTCTTCGAGACCACTTATCTCGAGACCACGGGACCACTTCTCTCGAGACTGGACCACTTATCTCAAGACCACTTCTCTCGGAGACCACTTCTCTTCGAGACCACTTATCTCGAAGGAGTTATGTACCCATAACCCCCTCCAGACAGGACTTATGCTATGGTAAAGTATTGCAGTATTGTTCTTGTGTAAACTGTGAAAACCCACACTGTCTGCTGGGTGGCTACATAGATAATAGAGCTAAATATCTATAGATATTGTATATATATATCTATTATGTGCTAATAGACCCTCCCTCTCTCTCTTTGACTCTTCCCTCTTCCTAGCCATTATGCCAGTCCTGGTCCCTAACAGGCCAACTCAGCAACCCCTCTACCATGAACCACAGTCAACTGGCCTCCCTCAGAACATTGACTGTCCTCTTTCATCTGATCCTCTACCAGCAGGTGCTTATTTAGAACCCTCCCTCTCTCTTTTAACATTTATGGCCTCTCTCCTTTCTTTCTTTCACTTTCCTCCTACTCTCTCTCTCTCTCCCTTCCTCTCTTTTAATCTTTATCTAATGCTCTTCCCTTTTTCCTTCTCATTTTCCCTCTCTCCCTCTCTCTCTTCCAGAGGAGACCCCTCCACCTGCTTACAGTGAAGTTCCCCCAGTTGATAGTCCAGCTGATCCACAGAGTGTCTACTCTGGTGGTAAGTGTATAAAACTACTAATTATTTACAAGTGTAGTATCACTAATCAAGCAATGTACACGTACACGTATATATTAGTATATGTTAATGTGTATATGTTTGTATGTTTTCCCTCCCTGTGTTTCTAATTTGTTTAGAGTAGCTTCCTATCCAGTCTTGTTTGTATTCTGTTCCTTTACTCTCTTCTCTTCCTTCTTTCTCTATAGTTGGCTCTCCTATCATGTCTCCATTATCAGCTGCTTCCAACACTTCAGTTAATCCAATTGGATCACCGGCTCAGTCAGGTGAGGCTGGTACAGAGTAGTGGGAGGAGACAAAGAATTCTTTCATTATGGTCCTGCATATTTCGTATACCTTTATCATTATTAAATA